CTAAAGCCAAAATGCACTGGCGAGGTCGGTAGAAGTTTCAGGAGGCACCCTGGAACATGGAAGACCTTCTGGAGGTGGGAAGGGTGGTGGCCATTCTTGGGTGAGTCTTCTGCACCCTGCCACAGTTTCTTTTTCAAAGATACTGCTTATTCTTTCCTGTTTTTCCAGCCCTGATGACTGGGTTGGGCGGTAAGACCTAGGGGGTTTGTGAACATCCCCTGTTACATGCCACAAGTCTTTATAAGGGACAGGTAGGATGCATCATGTTCTGAATGTGTTGATCATAAAGCCTGTTGTCACAAAACAATCAGAACTAGTAATCTGAGGCACTTATTTTTGTATTAGTGGATGTTATGATACTCTGTAGACCCAGTGGTGGGAGGATGGACAATATGCCGTGGATGGTGGTGCAATCATTTTATTTAGATTACTAGAGGCCCGGTGCATGAAATTCATGCACAGGTAGGGTCCCTAGGCCTGGCCGGCCATCAGGGCTAATTGGGACCTTCTGGCTCCGGCTGGGGCCTCCCTGCCCCAGCTGCCAGCTGCTAGCTGGGGCCTTCCTTTGTTCCGTGCTGCCCCCTGGTGGTCAGTGCACATCATAGTGAGCAATTGGTCTGTTGAACTCCTGAGGGGACAATTTGCATATTAGGGGTGTGTGTGTGTGTGTGTGTGTATGTGTGTGTGTGTGTGTATAATTATAGAATAGGCTTGAATAGACAGTCATCCCAGGTGCCAGTGGGAAATGAGGCACATGTTTTGGGTTTGGGTTTGTCACATGGACCCTTGAAAGGTATATTCTTATTCTAGGTCCCACCTCAGCTTCCAAATGTCCAGGATTGGTACACTGTGGATGCTGAGACCAGGTCTGGGAAATGTCAGACTGACTCAAGCCTTTATTTGTACTAGGGAGGGAGGTAAAGGAACTTCCTTATGATGCACTTAGGAGAGGAATTACCCCTAGAGGAACTAGACATTACCTGATTCTGGTCTCCCTGGGTGAGTGTCGTGTAGACTAAGTCCTCGGTTGGTTAGGTTCCCTGTCACTCATCTTGGTTACCCAGGCCCCTGCCACTGTTACGGGGCCTCCAAATTCATCTTAAACATTCCCTGAACTTCCAAGTCTTTGGTGGATATTTGGGGAGCTGCCCACATTCCCTAGGGTCTGTGTTTGATGGCTAACCCATTTCTTGTCTCCTTTCTCCTGGCTTTTGCCAAATGTAACTGATCTCTAGAACAAAATCAAAACATTCTATAGACTTGCATACTTCAAAGCCATATATTGGCTGACACCTCTAGCTGAGAATGTTCCTAACCAGGATTCAAAAAATAGCACTGCAGATGTCTGTCCTACACAGGGGGAAAAACAACTGCTACCCTTGACAACCTACTACTTAGATTGATCTAGAGCAAACGTCTGCTCGGTGGTAAATGGATTCTTTTGGTAGACAACTATTCTTAGAGCAGGGTCTTCCAGCTTCCAGATTTTGTTTTGTATTTTGTTTTGTTTTGTTTTGCTTTGCTGGGGCAGGCCTTTGTCTGTCTTCATTTCTAAAGTCTGGATCTTACATTTCTTCCATGTGGCTGCCGATTACAGATGGTAAAACAAGAAGGCCACCATTTCCT